TATATTGTTTGGGTAATTTATTTTTAAATTTGCATTAATAATATTATTTTTCGTTGAATACGACATCTAAACATGTAAATGCCACGGAAATACCCATGTAAGTGCAAGCACTAACTTATTATAGTAAGATATAATATATTTTTAATGTTTCTCATGTGTTTATTAATATGATCATATTATGTGAGAGGATTCTAATCATTCATAGATAAATCAATGGTGACAGAAAATGAAAGAGAAAAAAATATTAGAATAGGAAATGATAAGATCATCATCATTGATATATCTATGAATAATTAGAATTATCTCACGTAATATTATTATGTTAACTAAGACATGATACATGATGATAGGATCTATTTCCATTTTTAATAGATGGCCGTGAAACTTGTTGAAGTGGTCAAATGCCGCATAATTTTGTGGAAATTGCATATTCATTCCTTTTTCACGTGTGTTTTTATTCGCTAATAGCGGACCTCCGCGATAGCGACGTTTAAGGTGGCCTGAATCAGACCCTTGAACTCTTGAAGCGCGATGTCTCTCGAGTAACCTCAAAGCATCCAATTTTAGCGGTAATGGATTAAATCAAGTCATTGACAAGAAGAAATAAATCTCGAATAAATGGTTGCATTTAAGGAACAGGGAAAATGTGTCAAGATAAATATCTAACTAAAGCATCACTCTTCGAATTAAAAATAAAAATAAAAGTTCATCACTCTTCGCTCATAAACGAGATCAGAATCCCGAAATCCATTTTGAACAACATCATAATCACGTGTACTAGGAAAACGATAAACAAAAAATGGGTCAAGTGCACTATGCCACGCTAATTTATTTGTACAATTACACTTTAGCAATTAATTTATAAAATTAAGCACACTCCACATTGATGACATTTCTTAATGTCCTGCCCATCATCCAAAATTGTAAATATATCTAGAATGATACAATGCAAACATAGCCAAAAAAAAAAGGTAAAGGAAGGATTTTAACACTTATTAATACTTGGCTAATAAAAAAAGTTAAAGGACTATAAATAAATATTAATAAGTGGGTTTGCATCCAGTCAGATCTTCATGGTGCTAACTAAAAAACTTTGTAATAAACTACAAACTTTGTCTGACCCGTATTGAATCAAAACACAGTTTAACTCGTAATCACATCAATTGATGAGAGATCAGTTTTTCTGTTCTGCTTTGCTTTTTTCTACGTTCTATTTGTCAGGAAAAGAGTAGCCGTGTGAGAGGGTCTAGCAAAGGATAAGAATTAATGTTATATTTGTATTGGAAAAGTGGGATCCTTTAACCTCATATCATGCATATGAGATCATCCCTTCCAAATTTATTACGATTGGCAGGTTAAAAAATTTAAAAATTACAATTTAAATAATAAATTACAGAATTAATATTATTTTTAGATATTTTTCATAATTAATATAATCAGTTACATCCAAATTAATGCGGAACTAGTAGTACACCAGTTTGGTGCAACTCACGAGAGGATGCCACATGGCTCTAAAGGTGGTCTTTTTTTTTTTTTTTTGTAATACTAAATGTGGTCTTCTGTGTATTATATAATCTACTATCGAGAGTTAGTGATCGGATTGATAATGAGAGCATGCCATGTGGCACCAAAGGTGATCATCTGTGTAATATACAATTTATTATTGAAATCTAGTAACCAAATTGGTAATGATTTAGGGTGACCATCTAGGAATGAGCTCAAATTTAACCGAATCCTTGGAATTGATCTTCTGATTAAGGCTCATGCGGCTTATGATGAGCACCAACTTTTTTTGGACTTTCGGAGTAGTTTTCATTATTTTATTTTTTTTTCTTTTTATTTTTGTATGGATAATTTTGTAATTAGCTATTTTCTTTTTTCTTAACTATTTAAGGACATTGTGAATTCTAGTTTATTTGGTTATTTGATATTGAATAAAGATATTATTGTGAGATGTAACTACTCTAAATCCTTGTTCATTCTGTCATGACCATTATAGTTTGTATAACTGAATTAGTTTGAAACCAACCATAAAATTATCATAAATTAATTTTGAACCATAAACCGATTCAAGAAAAATAAATTTAGTTTATATAAAATAAAATAGTTAAATTCTTGGAACTGAAATCGATTTAAACCTACTTGATTAGGTTCAGTTTAACAAAAAAAAATCAATTCAGATTGAATCATGCTTGCCCTTAATGTCATATAGCAAGCTCTTATGAGTTGCATCCAAATTAATGCGCAATTATTTACACATCAAATTAAATGCAATTGCTTGCATTAGTTACATAAAACATTTGAGCATGACATTAATTTTAAATTTATTATTTAAGTTATAATTTTTAATTTTTTTTTTTGCCTGACTGGCATTTTACATGAAACTTGGAGGTATATATTCCGCAAAGCATTATACACTCAAGCAGCCGTTTGAGGATTTTAATTAGGGATCATGAGTTCAAAACCGTGCGGGACTTCTCTTCTAAAATGAAAACGTTAAACAATGCTGTGCCATCCACTGTTCAATGTTGCCCGTACCCACCTAATCAGATCCATAAAAAAAACTTTGGATGGCTTAGCTTAGTCCTCACCTTGTCCCTACTTTAGCCACATACTGATATTTGTTGTGTAGTAGTATCTAGAAAGTAGTGCAACCTCTATTCATCATATTGTCTTTGTTGGTGTTTGGTTCGTGATTTTTGCAAATTTTTCCAAAGTGTAACATATTCTCAGTTGTCTACATTTGGTAGAAGAGATAAAAAAATTTAATTGACAATTGTATGTAAAAAAGCAACATATGTATTATGCGTTCAACATAGTATTTGGAAGAAAATTGGGTAAATGACAAAATGCAACATATGCATAGTGCAACTTGCAACTTTCAATGTGTTTTTTTTAGTAATATTTTACTCAATCAAATAATTTTTTTTAAATTTTTTACCAAATTTACTTTCTTACCAAATTTACTTTCTTACCTTTTTGCTAGTAATTATTTTTCTGGTAATTTTTTTTTTCCTCTACTAAACATTCTCTTTGTAAAAAGTTTAAAATCTCAATTCTAATATTCGCTCCAAATCAAACTAAACATAAAATAATCAACTGATTAAAATATTAAAAAAAGAAAGAAAAAAGAAAGTAGTGATACCCGGGAACTCTCTCACTAACACTGCAGACGGACCACCTCTCTTGGCTTGGCCTACGTTTTTAATAATAGAGCGGTGATATTTGGCACCAAAAACATTATATTATTTTTATGCATTGTTTCTTTGGAAAAATAAAATAGAATAAAAAATATATTGACATGTGTGTTATATTATTAAAAAAAAATTGTACATGAACGATATGAAACTTATTATATAAATTTTAGAATAGGTTATTCTACTTATTAGCCTTTTTAATCCCGTTAATTATAATCTCATTCAACGGTAGAAATTTGTGAAATAAAATAAATTATTTTTTTCTTTCTTTTTCCTCGATGCCTCCCACTCCCTTTCTCTCTCCTCTTCTTTCTTCATAATTCATTTTAGGAGAAGAATATTGTAACAACTAATTAGTGTTACTACTAATGTTACTACCATTCAATTTTACCGTTAGATCGATTATGTTCATCCAACGATTATATTTATTTCTATTTTGGTATAATTATGATTTTTTATATTTAATACTTTATATTTATTTATACTTTTGTATGATTATGATTTTTCAATTGGATATGATATTGTAATACGAGGAAGAGAGACACTAATTATATAAAAGCATGAATTTGGGAAATTTTTTACTTTTTCATTTAGAAACCGCGATTTTGATACGGAACTTTCAACATCTCAGCAGCATGCGAAATTAGTCCCGTACCAGTCTGCAGGATTAGTAACGTGATGCATAGCTGAGGTGCGGGACCGATGATGTGATAGTAGGTACCATATTGATCACATACGAGAATGGTGATGCATTGCTTTGATTGCACGTTTAACCGCATTATAATAGAAAACATTTTTCAGCAGGCATAGTTACAATTCTTTCCTAGATATATATGCTATGGCACGGGCCAATCTTATTAAAATCGATCTCGTCATTGACCTGGTCGAGGTACTGGATCACTGGTTTAATCAGTAGGTCACTGGTTCAATCGTATGACTCAGTAATTATATGTAATTGAGTAAACATCCTTTTTGGTCCATGGCAATATCTGCGAAATCCTTTTTAATCCCTGACAATAAAAAAGGACTAAATTGGTCCCTAAAATTATAAAAAAAGAGCCACATTAGTCCTTATGTCAACTCCTCCGTCACTAACGTGGCCCTTTTTGCATACTGTTAGGGACCAATTTGGTCCTTTTTTATTGTCAAGGACTGAAAAGGATTTCGTAGATATTTCCAGGGACCAAAAAAGGTGTTTACTCTATGTAATTTTATAATTTATATTAAAAGATTATAAACATACTCGAATATCTAAAAAAATGATAAATATTTCAAATATTTTAATATAAAAATAAATAAATTACATATTATTATTCAATAAAGGATCAAACAAAAATATAATGATCATGATACGAGGCTTTAGGTTTAAAAAACGATATCTTTAACTATAAATCAAATCAAATTTTTTTAGATAGTGCATAATTGAAATAATATTAAGGTTGTTGGTACATAACTTATATAAGTCAATAAGTAAAAAAATATTTAAATATGTACATTATGATTTATTTATTTTTGAAAAAATAAATAATTTGAATTTTTTTTATTTTTTGGGACTGGGCCGGGTCACCGGTTAACCGACCGGGTCACCGGTTTTCATGAAAACCGGCTGGGTTGGACCAGGTCACACCGGTTCTGATGCATGGCCGATCCGTTGCTTCAACCGAACCGATTATATGACCAGTTCCCGAGTCGACCCGACCGATCGGTTTTAATAATAATGGCACGGTGAGTTTGCCCTTCTCTTCGTCTTCGTCTGCGTCTTTCTCTCCTCTTTTTCCCAACCCCACTACACTAAAGCCCTTACCATCAAATATTGGGCCGTAACATCACTTTGGAACAGTTGTCATATTTATTTAGATTATATAACCCCCTTTACTGGTTTTAGATAAGAAGCCAGTTGCTTTTGGCAGCAAAGATAGACACTTTCCATAGCAAATTGAACTCTCTCCCTTATAGCAAGGATGATTTGGATGGCAATTATTTTAGCTTTTCTAACTTCTCTGTGGCTATGGAGAAGCAAAGAGAAGGCAAAGAGATTACCTCCTGGTCCAATAGGTTTGCCAATTTTGGGGAGCCTTCACAAGTTGGGAGCAAATCCTCATCGTGATCTTCACCAACTAGCCCAAAAACATGGACCCATCATGCACTTGCGCTTGGGTTTTGTGCCAACCATAGTTGTTTCTTCACCCCAAGCTGCTGAACAGTTTCTGAAGACCCATGACCTTGTCTTTGCTAGTAGACCACCCGTTGAAGCTGCAAAGTACATAGCTTGGGAACAAAGAAACTTGAGCTTTGGTGAATATGGTTCTTATTGGCGCAACATGCGTAAGATGTGCACATTGGAATTACTGAGCCATACTAAAATTAACTCCTTCAGAGACATGAGGCAAGAAGAGCTTGACTTATTGATCAATCATCTAATAGAAGAAGCCAGAGATGGAGTTGCTGTTGATATCAGTGCCAAGGTTGGATCACTCAGTGCAGACATGAGTTGTAGAATGATTTTAGGGAAGAAGTACATGGACAAGGACTTGGACGAGAAGGGATTCAAAGCTGTGATGCAAGAGGCAATGCATTTAGCAGCAGCACCTAACATAGGTGATTATATTCCTTACATCGGTAAACTTGATCTTCAAGGGCTAACTAAGCGCTTCAAGTTAGTGCACAAAATCTTCGACGACTTTTTTGAGAAAATTATTGATGAACATATGCAATCAGAGAACAGAGAAGACAAGATCAAGGATTTCGTGGATGTCATGTTAGGCTTTGTTGGTAGTGAAGTATCTGAATACTCTATTGAACGCCCCAATATCAAAGCCGTATTGTTGGTAAAAGGAATCACATTGTTGAACTTTTTCTCTTACTTTTTACAAATCAAATAGCTGTTATTATGAATCTCACTTGTTTTTTGTTTTCTAGTACAGGATATGCTGGCGGGTTCAATGGATACTTCAGCTACAGCAATTGAATGGGCACTTTCAGAGCTGCTAAAGCATCCAAGGGTGATGAAGAAACTCCAAACAGAGTTGCAAACTGTGGTGGGTATGAAGAGGAAGGTGGAGGAATCAGACCTGGACAAGTTGGAGTATTTGGACATGGTTATAAAGGAAAGCCTCAGGTTCCATCCAGTGGCACCACTACTAATACCACATCAATCCATGGAAGATTGTATGGTTGGAGATTTTTTCATACCTAAAAAGTCGAGGGTCATAATAAACGCATGGGCAATAATGCGAGACCCAAGTGCTTGGAAAGAGCCAGAGAAGTTCTTGCCAGAGAGATTTGAGGGAAGCAACATAGATATACGAGGACGTGACTTACAGATGATACCATTTGGGTCTGGCAGAAGGGGTTGTCCCGGGTTGCAATTGGGTCTGACTGTGGTTCGTTCAGTGGTGGCTCAACTCGTTCATTGCTTTGATTGGAAGTTACCAAATGATATGTTGCATACTGATTTGGACATGACAGAGGAATTCGGCCTCACATTGCCCAGGGCCAAGCATCTATTTGCCATTCCTACTTATCGCCTTCCAATAGAAAGGGATTAGGCAAAAAAAAAAATTAATTGTAACATTTTATTTTATGCTTGGTTAGGTCGATTTCAATAAGATGTATAGAAGAATATCTTATCTTTTCCTTTCCTTTTCATTATCAAGAATTATATTTCTATCAATGGAAAAGATTCTTCTTCTTCTCTCTATATATATTATAGTATATCATGCATATTTTATATCTTAACTAGATATTTTAGCCAGGTGTCATTAGTATGAATTTATGATTATGATTTTTCATGTGTCTAATTAAAATTTAACCAATATACATAATAGCTTATTTTCATTATGAAATGTAACCCTTTGTACTCTAAAGTGGTTTTGTTTAGTTGTTGTCATTTACCTCTGTTAACTGTGGTTATGTTATAAAAGCGTTGTCGTTTAAATTTGGGCAGAGACATAAGAGCCTCTATAACCCTTTTCCTCGACTCACTCTCCTCCGCGCTATGATTTTTCTCGTTTATTCTCGCTAGCTATTGAGCCCTTTTTTCTTTTTCTTTTTCTTTTTTCCATCTCTTCATCCCCTCTTTCTTTTCATTGCTTGGTTTTTCTATGTGCAGCTGATGAAAAAGAGATGCTGTGCCATTGCTATTATCACTTGATTGCAGGAGTTCACATGTTGCTGCAGGAGCCGCACTGCACATGTTCACAATTTGTACAACCACACTGCACATGGGTTAGCGGCATCACTTGCAGCTGGGGATGAAAGTGGACTGGGTTAAGTTGATCTTTGTTATGAAAAACTCAAGTTTATGTAAAAAAAAATTAATTAATTTGACGTGAGTCTAACTGTTAGTCTAATTTGATCCATTTATAAAAAAAACAAATGGCCTGAGTTTAACTGTTAGTCTAGCTTGATCCATTCATAAAAAAACAAATGGCCTTATCTGCTCCATTAACCTGTTAATTTTTAACTTTCAAGCGGAACATGAATCAATTCCACAAAATACTCAAATCTTGTTGTTAAAACAAAAATCACAATTTTAACTTTCAAACAAAATCATGAATTACAACAACAACTTCGCACAATCTGCATTAGTCACTTTCATAAACAAGATGTCCAAACTAAACAACACATACTTCATCATATCCAACAAATCAATCCATATTATGTAAATTAAAATAACTCTTCAAAGTCATACTTATTATGTAGTCAATCTCTACCATATATTAAAGCTTGGATGATATTTTCAGCCAAGTTAGAATGATAGACATCAATAACTCTTCTTCCAGCACTAAATATTGATTCTGATGCTACTGAAGATATTGATATAAATCTTATGTCACTCCCAAAGGTAGTATTGGTGAAGGATCGAACCTAGGTCCTTCCATCACCTACTCAGCTCACATGTGCTAATTGAACTATCACCATTTGGTATTATATGAATACTATTATTTTATTTTATTTAAAATAAATAATATGATATAGGCCGGCCTGAAGGCTTATAGGCACAACATGTAAAAAAAAAACCTATGATCTGCCTTCTAAGAACCCAGTTGGATGGGCTTCCAAAAAAGTATTTTTTATGTCTTACTCTTACTTATTTTAGAAGTACTTTTTATAAAAGTTAAAGGTATTTAGATATTTTTAAAAAATTTGATTTTTGAAAAAAAAAATATTTGATTTTTGACTTCTGTTTTTTTTTTTAAGTAGACATTCAAACGGATATTTTTTGATGTGTTTTTTTTTTTTTTGAAAAGAGAAAAAATTCATCCAAATAGACCCTAATAAATAGGTTTTTTAAAAAAATCTGTTATATTTAATTATATATAATATGCCGACTCTGATATAAATTAGGACGTTTGCCGACCTGCTTCTCTTTCACCGCTACTTGCAGCAAAGAGCCGAAAACCAAATCACAATATTGTTGGCACTTGGCAGCACAAGTTGCAAAATGGTTGGTCCAATAAGAAGGTTTCGGTGTAGCAGACAACCACAATTATATTGTGGTCCAATAAGAACATTTCTTTACCTTAAAGAAATTGTCGACTCCTCAACTATATATAGGCGTCAGCTTCATTAAAGCACCGAGTATGAGAGTTAATTGTTGGGAACTAATCGGTTCCTTCAGATTGACTCAGTGATTTTTTTTGTGCAAAAGTCAATCAACAAGATACTGATCTTAGATTTCGACAATACCTCGCCCTGAATTTCACCAGGTCGAGCAGCGCAACGGAAAAATCAAAACGTAAACACGAAATAGGAGAGAGAAGAGGAAGAACACAACCAGATTTAACGTGGAAAAACCTTCTTCAACGAAGAAGTAAAAACTCACGGGACCTAGAGCCCGTTTGGATGAGCTTTTTTTCTTCAAAAGCTGCTCTTTTTAAGAAGAAAAAAAGCACTTCTCGAAAAAGCCCAAAAATCTACTTTTTTCGAAAGCAAAAATTTTTAGCTTTTAACAAAAGCAGAAGTCGAAAGCTAAATATTTTTTCTCAAAAATCAAATATTTTTTAAAAAATCTAAATAGCTATAACTTTTATAGAAAGTATTTTTTTTAAATAAGGAAGTGATAAAAGGACTTTCTTGATAAGGCAATACAAACGAGCCCCTAGTCTAAATCAAAAAATCCACTATGAAAATAATGGTTACAAAAAATCAAATACACCAATGTGGTGGTTAACTCAACAACAATGGTGATAATCAAACTACCTTAGAAATATTTCACCTAAACTCTCTCTAGAGATCTCTCAAATGCAAAGCATAAAGCTTTACTCAAACAATCAAATAATTATCTCTCAAATTTTTCTCTCTCATTCACTTGACCTAGCCTCCACTCACAACTAATAAATATATAGAGGAGGTGAGATCTAGGGTTAGGGTTTTTAGAAAACCCCTCAAAGAGCTTGGGCTTAGCATTGAAGGAGGAAGCCCAACATTAATCACTTCTATTCCAATAGGTTTTTTTTTTGTGTATCTAATTTTGTGTATTGGGGATATTAGAATCAGAGTTTGAGTGCTTGAGTTATTTTCATTTTTTGTACTCTACTTCATTTTAATATATACTTTTGATTTGTTTTTGCATGTACGTACAGTAGACACACTACCGAATCACGTAAATACTTGTGTCTTGTATATGTGCCATTTTATTCTCTCTTTTCTATTTTCTCTATTTTAAACCGATCCGTTTCTTAACAAGAGACATTTCTGGTGGGCGTGACACCAGTGTCATGATTCCTTAGAGATGGTGCTTCGATCACTTTTGCGTGTGGAAGTCTGGGTTGCTTGGCCAGCTTATTGATTGTGTTCTCCAATCTTGAGAGAATCTTATTTACGAAGCACCGATACTTTAAAAATTTTGATGTGTCATGTCTGATATTTTTCGACATTCTCCGACACTCCGACATTCTCCAACACTCCAACATGCGTCGTAGAAACTCAAAAAATGATTCAAATGTTGTATTGTGTTGCGTTTTTAGTTCTAACTGTTAGATTCGTTGGATTAAGATTACAATTTTATTGAGTTTAATATAAATATTTATGATATCTTATGTTTCTTTACAAAATTGATGGGTATTATAAGTTTAACTTTATTTTTTTGTTATATTATTGAATATTAAATATAATATATACTACGTAAATTAAAAATATTATTTAATATTAAAACGTGTCCTAACATGTCGAAATTTAATATTTTTAAAATTAACGTGTCAGAGTGTCATGTCGTGTCACGTGTCCCATGTCGATATCGGTGCTACATAAATTCTTGCCTCAAGTTATAAACTTAGGTATATGATGTAATTTTATGTACTATTGGACAAGAATTTGTATTGTAACAGACTTTTAACAACTTGTTAATTTAACTGCTCAAGAAATGTTGTGAGAGAGAGATTGGTGAGCTGGTGTAACAACTTATTCTAATGATAATGAGCTGATGCCTTCACTTCATACTTGGATATTTCCGTGGCATTTATACATTATGATGTGGCTATCAACTAGGGGTGCTAAATGAGCCAGGGGATTTACAGAGGCTTTTGGCTCGGCTCGTGAAGGTCTGACCTTATATGTCTAAAATTGATTGTTGGAATCAGGCTTGGACTTGTATAAAAGCTCGTTTAATAAAAAGGCTTCAGGCACCAATTCAAAAGCTCGGCCTTAGAGCCTCTCAGGCTGGCCTAATATATTAATTTTTATTTTTATTTTATATTTTTTATACTACTTGTGATAATTTTTGTAGTGTAACCTTCTCTCTCTCCTCAACCCCATCCCATTTTATTAATTAAAAAGACTTTTTGAATGATTTTGTTTTATATTTTTGGATATACATTAAATTTATGGATATTTATGAAATTACTAGTGTTGTTGATTATATATTTTGTTTGGATAAATTTTTGTTGTCTTACTTTTTTTAAACAGGCTAAAACCAAACTTTTATTTTTTTGTAAATAAGACAGGCCACAGGCTGAAATTATATTCATAACAGGTAACAGGCTTGGTCAGGCTGACACATTTAAATACAGGCTTGGCCTTTTAAGACCAAAGCTTGGCTCGGCTCGGCCCGTTAACACCCTTACTATCAACGACTTTATAATATCATTGGAATAAGTTCTGGATCAATTGTAGAAGATACTAGTTGATTACTCGTGCGATGCACGGAGAAAAAAAAATTGGTTTGTTTGTCTCATAAAAATTAGCATAAAATTTAAATTAGATTGTTATTTGGAATTTTATAGCGCACAATAACTCAAAAATATGTAAAAGAGTCGTAAGTTAATTTTGATAGTAGTCTGGAAAAGGCTTTAAGAAGGTTACATTAATGACATAGAATATGGAAATAATAGTTTATTGCATATGTGTTACACAAAGAAAAGAACAATTCTGATAAACTGATTTCAGTGTAATGTCAAATGATGTCTATAATAGATTCAAATCATGCATCATACGAAGAACAAAAAAATTGACATATTGTGCTTAACATCAAGGTAAATTAAAGATAGTCCAACCTACGCTTGCAATTCTGATAAATTCTGAATAAAAAAAATTATATCTATCAGCATTTTATATAAGCATGTAATAGGTTTTTATATCTATCAACAAAAGAA